CATGACTTCTTGATTATAGATAACATTTTACCTAAATTAATATGTCTTCTGTTGTTAAAAATTCATGAGAATTCGAAGCTTTACTATGTTTAGTGCTTTTTGATTGTCCTGTGTAATTGGTGGGCATTATTCCCGGAGCTGTTTTATGTTTACAGAATGATAAGTTTATGTAATGGTTTTATGATAGATTAGTTGCGAAGGAACTGATTACAAGTGGCGATAAGTGGCCAGGCTGCGAGGTCCTGGAACCAGGGAGGCGAAGCTAATGTTTCGCACGGGCTTAATCCTCGGCAGCATCTGGTGGACCACCGGATGGGCGGCGTAGGTGAGGTGGGCGGGCGTCTGACCGGAGGTGGGAGGATGCTGCTCCTCCACCTCCTCCGCCGCCGGAAAGAACCCCCGCAGCTCCCCTGCTTTGTGATGGCTGACAATCCGCGCTGAAGGAGCGACCAGCTGCTTGTGGGACTGGAGGATTAGTGGCTCCGCCGACGACAATCTGTTGAAGCTCTGATGGGAAACGGCACTGGCCAGCTGGCCGTTGCCATGGAGGATTGTCGTGGCCGCCTCACTGTGGCTTATTCCCCAGGTGAGTACGAGGCAAACAACAACCTGTTGGCGGATTTCGTTTGGGAATCGGGGAAGACAAAACCTATGCGGATTACTCACTGTGATGTGCATGATGGTCACTTGAGTGGGCTACTAATTACCGTTAGGCATGTGCCGCTGCCATTTATAGCCGGACGTGGACGTGGCCAAGAGGACTCCTTGACCAAGAGGTCGCCCCGCCTTGTCGCAGCAAGATTTATGGGCCATTTTGTATGCAGCTAATTAATTAATCAAAAAGTACTCCAATCCGACAGCCTCTCATGAGCTGCGTGCACTTAGAGCTTCCATTACGCGCCTCCGGCTAATCGCCAAATCATATGGCCGGTCGGTCGACTGACTCAACATCGCCCGATTGCCGGAGAATGTGCGAAGCCACGACGGCAACTTTGAGTATTGAAACCTGAGGGGAGCAAGAAGTATTCGGTTCGCAGCTTAAGATACCCTATTTATTAAATATAGAATGACACATAATGTATACAATTTTCAGGAAATGTTGAGAATGAGCTAAAAAATACTTTACATTGCTTAATTATTTAATGACGAAGCTTAAAAGATTTTTGTAATCAATATTAATAGTACACAAATTTCGTATTTTTATGTTTTTTAATTATTTACATTTTCTAAAATAATTTACTGACATTATTAATTGTGTTTAAAAGTTAATAGTCTTTCATAAGGTAAATTCTTAACAGTTTGTGATATTAGTTATGCAGATTCACTTATTTAAACCACGTTTATGATTTTACTAATCTCATAAGAAAGCTAAATTTTTTTAAAAACATTGGCATCATAAAATTTAAATAATAAAATAATTGGGTTTTGATTCTCTAATTTAAAAAACAATTTTATTGGGATAACGAAATTCTTTTAGATTTTTAGGAAACAGATAATTCTAAGAAAATGGCAACATCCCTAGAATGTTTCATAAATTGTTAGATTTAAACTTAACCACGTTAACTTATGGGTTTTTGATGGGTTTATTTGTACTTCTAATTAAGAGTGAATACCCCCCGCTAGGGTATTATATCAGCCAACCACAGAGCTTGGTGGTGCGGTGGGCGAGCGGCGGAGGTGCGAAGTGGAGTGGATCAACCTTCAGCGAGTTGCGCTGACGCAGACGCCGTCGCATGTTGTAGGCTTTGTTGTTGCGGCGCTATTACTACAATATTTGCGGCGTTCGGTATTTATTTATATTTGATTTTTTTTTCGGTTTATTTCTTTACGTAAAGCTGCGTCCAAGTTGAGACACTCCCACAATTGCAAGATAACCGCGACTGCGCGCGTGTTTCCAGCGCTTCGATCGCAGATCGAGCATTTATCCAGGGGCTGTGCGAAGGGGGTTGTATCGTTGAGTTCACCCCCTCGGCATGCTCCACGGCCGCCCCTGTTTGGGCCAGCAACTGCTCCACCGTGATTTCATGGCACAGCAATTCACACAGCACTTCAGTTTGACTTTGCCACTCGCTCCGCTTTGTGTTTGCTTCTCGAAAGGGGAACCTCTAGTCTTCGATTCGCATTCGGATTTGGATTCGGATTTGATCCGCCCACCTCAGTTCGACGGCGGTGTTCTCAGTGGTTTTGTTGTCTCCATAATCGGCCCATTAGGCTTGGATCGTTACCATGCGGCATCTGGTGAGTGGGATGATCTTACTTAAACTCAGGGGGTCGATTTGGGGGAGAGCCAAAGCAGAATTTGAATGGGTTTTACCTGCTACATATTGGTTAAAAAATGTGAAAATAAATTGAAATATTATTTTATTTTTAAACTTTAATCTTTAAAATTCAAGATATTTCAATAATAACTTTAATAGAATTTTTCCGTATCGAAAAAGTCCACTTTTATCTTTTCCTGAATTTGGAAAAAACAAGAGAGAACGCCATAGTCGGGTTGTTGTCCCGACTATCTAATACCCGACACTCAGCTAAAGGGAGTGCGAACGCTGTGTCGGGTTGGTGTCCCGACTAATAATCGTAACTCAGCTAAAGGGAGTGCGAGGGAGATAGATATATCATTTTTGATTGCGTATAACTTTTTAATGAATGGTCCGATTTGAAAAATTACATTTTTCGATAGGTATAAGTATACACAACAAAATTGCATTTATACTTCTCGGAAATCTTTAAAGATGTGGGCGCAGGACCCATTTTAAAATCGTTAGTGGGCGATTGTGGGCGTTAGAGGGGGCGTGGCGCTCGGCTAAAATAAACTTGCGCTGCGTAGGAAGCCAAAGAATATGTGTGGGAAATCTCAACCTTCTAGCTTTTGTAGTTTCTGAGATCTCAGCGTTCATACAGACGGACAGACGGACAGACAGACAGACAGACAGACAGACAGACGGCCAGACGGACAGACGGACAGACGGACAGACGGACAGACGGACATGGCTAGATCGACTCGGCTAGTGACCCTGATCAAGAATATATATACTTTATGGGGTCGGAAACGCTTCCTTCTAGCTGTTACATACTTTTGCACGAATCTAGTATACCCTTTTACTCTACGAGTAACGGGTATAATTAATCATAGATTCCTTTGCTTCCTCAAAATAGACCCCCCATCCTATTATTATTATTTATTTATTCAACTTGGATTTTACCACCCTTTTAGGTGATTCTGGCTATAATTTCCGTGGCTCTGGTTTTGGCCAAGCCGGCAACGGAGGCACCTCGTCTGCTGATCGACTCCGCGCCCTCGGTGGTCTCCTATCAGGGTTCATCGCAGTCACAGACCCGGTTCGTCATCGCTCCCATGGGCCGGGCATTGGGCTATGTGGAGCCCACCAACCTGAATCGCACTTTCCACACGAAGGCCACGCAGGAGGACGGCGCCACGGGCTACGAGCAGCTCAATCTGAGCCCGGTTTATGTGCCGAATAGCTAGGCAATCGAATGGTGTAGTTTTAGATAGTTAAATGTGTAAATAAAGACAGCTTGTATACCAGTATATTGTTCCATTATTCGTCTCTTTAGAATAATTATATTTAAGACATTCTTTTTTCAAACTACACTCAAAAAATTATTTTTCTTAAATATAGAAAAAAATTTTTCTGTGCTTCAAAAAAATATTCTATAAAGAGGGAAAAATTTTCTAATCTTCAGAAAAATTTTCTAATCTTCAAAAAATTCTGAATTGAACGAGTTTTTTAGAAAATATTTTCTGAAATACAGAAAAATCAATTTTTTCTAAATTATAAGGTTTATTTTTCTAATCATCCTTTCTTTTTTGAGGGTTAAAATCGCCATTGATTTTAGAAAAAAAAGACTGAACTTTTCTAAAACTAAAAAAAATTGCCATTAAAATTATAAATATTTCTACATAATAGAAATATTGTTTTTCTAATAACAGAAAAATTTTTTGAAGATTTTTCTAACATTTTGAAAAAAATGTGTGATATTAAGAAATATTTTTCTAGAAAATAAAAAATTTAACCGTATTTGATCGATTTCCTTTCTTATAGACTTTTTAGAAAAGTTTTTTTAGCCTAAGAAAAAAATCGCTATTAATCGAAGAAAATTTCCGGGATTGGTAGCCTAGGGTCTAACGCGTGCGTGCATGCATATGTTATTCAAGCTTGCGGCTGCAAGAGTGAGTTCAAACCCACGTCGAGACGAAAAACTCGTGGTGTCTTTTTTTTTTTTTAACACTAATAGTTACATATTAATAAAAAAAATGTATTGCATTTTGTTTAAGTTTTTCAAATTTGAAACATTCAATTACTGTTACTATTGAACCATAATAAATAATAAATATATAAATATTAATATTAATCAATAAATATTTAAAAGTAAAATTAAATGATAAACTAAAAGGAATAACCAGAAGAAAGCCAGATCAATTTGAGTAAAAATAGGAGAACAAAATGTGAATAGACTTTGTACAGCGCCTCACGTGATGCTTCCGTGGCGTAGCTAGTAGAGTGCTTGACTGCAAACTGTGAGGCGCGAGCGGTTAGCGGTTCGAATCCCGCGTGCGGCGACCAAGATGTTTTTCTCAAAATAGTAAGTTATTGGGTTTTTATATTTATAATTTGTAATTTGTACACTCATTTCAGTTCCAATTTGAAACCACCCATGTGCTCAATTAAAGGAAATTAAAAATAAGGTGACAAACAAGAACGAAAAAAAAACAACACAAAGGCCGTGGCGTCACAGAAACAACCGGGTATAATTCCGAAGCCCGAAAATAGATTTTTGTATTTTCTGAATTTGAGAAATTTTTTTTTTTTATTTAAAAAATATTTGTCTATATTTAAAAAAACCGTATTTCTATTTTTTAGAAAACCTTTATTTCTAAATTCTAAGAAATAATTTTTTACTTTCTAGCAAAATATTTCTAAATTGCAGTCTATTTTTTTGAATTTTAGGAAAAAACGTCTTTGATTTTAAAAACCTACTTTCTTTAATATAGACAAAATCGCCAGTAAAGCAAATTCATAGGCGATTTTCTAAAACCAAGGGCGATTTCAGTCGATTTTTTTTTTGGGTGTACTTTTAAAAAGAAAGTAGAATTTTTGTCATATAAAGCACCCCGAAAAACCTTTTCTTAACACTTTTTGAAGTTTTTAAAACTAGTTAAACTTTTTTTTATTAAAGAGGCAGTGTTTGTGGTTAGAACTCACTCTGCTTTTAGTCTAAATATTTCTCTAAAATATATTTATTATTATCCAAAAGCACTGTTTTAGATAGATCTTTGCAGATATTTCAGAAAATATATCAAATAAGGACTTAAAGCAGCCGAAGTTCAATATATCTAATATTAGTTCACACTGTTTGAAAGTATTTAAAATTTTATTTTGTTTGTTTGCTTTGCATTTTATTGGCTGAAACGGCAAGAGATTTAAATCTTTTCATGTATTTCCCAAAATAATTATTTGAAATAGTTTATTTTCATTATTTTTGGCTTAAAAAAAAGAGTTCTTAAGAGAATAGTAAATAA